CAACGAATGGTGTGCGTTTACACATGCATTTGAAACTCATTCATAAAAAGGTGATTGGAAATTCGATTTGGTCCATGCAAAATGCAACACAGATCATATCCAGTTAGTGAAACAACGTCCACACAAAGTTAGTTAATTAGAAAAGAAACACACAGACATTAATTAACACACCACAGTAAAAGCTTGAGGGGGCGGCTCCAAAATAAAACCATTTATACATACAATTGTGTCCCGTCACAAATTACCCTGCAAAAGCTAAAGATGTCATACGGTTGTATTAATTCCTTTTTTATTTTTTAATTATTTCATCATTCGGTCTAAGGATTTGTACATTTTATATACAAGTGGTGTGATTCATTTTTTTTTAAGTAAATTTGTAAATAAAAAGAGAAATGTTGTTTATTTCAAAAATCTAATATATTCATTTTTATTCAATCTATATTTTGTTGTTGTCGAAACACAATTATATATAAAAATATCACTGAAACTAAAAAAAAAAGAGATAAAAAATAAATAAATGTTAGCAGATGAAGGGTTGATAAATTCGCGCATGATAAATTGATTAAAAGAATTAATGAATTCATGCAAAATTAGTGAATTTAAAAAAAACAATGGGTGGAGCTTGAATGAAAAAGGGGGCGTGGTTGTGAAAGCAACGAATGGTGTGCGTTTACACATGCATTTGAAACTCATTCAAAAAGGCGATTGGAAATTCGATTCGGTCCATGCAAAATGCAACACAGATCATATCCAGTTAGTGAAACAACGTCCACACACACAAAGTTAGTTAATTAGAAAAGAAACACACAGACATTAATTAACACACCACAGTAAAAGCTTGAGGGGGCGGCTCCAAAATAAAACCATTTATACATACAATTGATTCAAATTCATTAAATGGAATTACAAAGGAGCGGCCCCAACGATTTGGACAAACTACAAAGAATTGCAATTTAGATTGTTAAATAATTCTTTGCGCTTGTCCAAATTAAATAAATAGAAATAAATTGTAAAAATAAAAAAAGTTGGCTGTACCTGGGGGGATGGAGGGGAAAACCTCGTTCAGAGAATCCTACACCACCAAAGAGAGAAACGTACGTATTTCCTACTGCGATCCTCTTAATATCCTCTTTTTCCTCTACTCTTTTATATAATTTGTATATAATCCCGCCTTCGCTCGCTCTTTCTCTCTCTTTCAGATAGATACGATAGATCCCCAGAGAACAATCCTTCCTCTCTTACACACGCACACAAATCCAAAGATCCTAATCCTCCTTTTATATATATTTATACAACATCCTCATCCTCAATGTCCACTTCATCCAAATTCCTAGGCCTTCCTTTAGTTATCCTACTGAGCAATTTTATCCCACGGAGTATCCTCCTGAGCGCGATTTATACTAATTTCTTTACCCTCTTTCAATTCGTTTACTTTTTTTTGTTTGATTGATTTATCCCAAATAATCCTAGGTATTTGTCCGCGATGAAGTGGGCTAGGGCTAAACGCAGGCACACAGAAAACAGGGTAAAAATTATATCAGAAATTTCATCCGTTCCACACACAGTAATTCCAAATTCGATATTTTTTTTTTATGATATTACCCTGTTTAGTGTGTATACCTCCTCCTCATCCTCATCATCCTATCAATTTTTCTCCCCGGAGCGGATCCTCCTTTTATAATTTTCCAAAAACTTTACTCCAAAGCAAGAAGAAGCAGGACGAGGCCCTCGCAACAAAAGCTCCGCTACAGATTTTTTTTTTGATTTTTTTGATACGAATTACTGTTTTTTTTTGCTAATTTCCTATTTTTTGTTCTCTCTCAAGCACATTCAATCCTTCCTCTCTCTCCTCGCTCCGTGTTGTGTGTGAAATTGGTTGAGTTCATAAACGTGTATTACTTTAGAGATTTCTTTATTTTTTTTACGACTCTCCTGCCATCGGCAAGATATATGGTAAAAGAAAAAATACATTAGAATCCTATCAGGGTTATTACATCAGGTTGTTGATTAATTTTGTTTTGTTTGTCGAATTTGATAAAGAAAGAAAGAAAAATAATAGTGATAATAATAATTAAAAAAAAAAACAATGAAAATATATATATATACACATATATATTCTAGTATTGTTTTCGCGCCGATGGCAAAACGGGACAAAAAAAAATCATTAAACAACAATCAAGTTTAGATTCGTTTCGCAAATCTTTGTTGCAAACGTTTTAAATTTATAATAAAAGCAAGAGAAAAAAATGTGTTGTTTCGCTTATTATTTTTTTTGTTTTGTTTTGTACTGCACAGGTCGAATTTTACACCGTTCGATTTGCCCTCAGCGCGTAAACAAACGAGACGATTGATTATTTATTTTTTTTTGTTGTTTGGAGAAAAAAAATATTAATTACTTATCAGAACTTTTGGACAGAAATAATTTAAAAAAAAAATACGCTTTTGATTTGTTTAAATTTGTTGTTTGTTCGAAGCAATAATTGAAATAGAGACGAAAATAATAATAATTATAATAGAACGCGCGCTAGGAATGTTGAAATATTTAAATAATTAAAAAATATTTTTTCTCTCGTTTCGTTACTTCCTCTTTTTTGATCAAATATATATATATTTATATAAGAAAAATTAATAAGTCAAAGAAAAAAAAAATCATAATAATAATTAAGTCAATAAAAACTTGGAACAAAACAAAAAAAAGAAAGCTTAATTTCGTTTCATATATAATAATGCTTTACACAATTAATATACGTACATGAAGCCTGAACTCGAGGCTCCTGATGTCTGAAATTAAGAACGGGAACGACTTCGGGTGTAACTGCGTTTCACTGGGCTGTAAGTGGGCGTGCCCCGACGCCTCGGCGAGTACGAACGGCTTCGGGAACGTCCGCCCGACTTACGATCGCTAGCGCCGCGATCTTCTTTCACTCGGATATAAGACACTTCACCCTAAAAGCAAACGCAGAACAGCACGCATTTACATTAGTAACAAAATCCAATCCATTAATTGTTTGAATCATATAAAGATTGCAATACCAAATCTCAATACTTAAGTATTTGTGTGAAAACTTTTACAAATTACTTCTAATCGACTTAATTGTGAATATGAAAAACTGGTAGTGCAATCTTTAAGCTTTCGATACATACTTCATGTGATCTAAACCTAGAGTCGTCGAGTTTTTTAATAGCGTATTTCATGTCTTCGTATCTTAAAAATTCCACAACACCCGAACCGTCTTTGAAGGCATCTGCGAAGCAGACATCGCCGGCTTCGCGCATGTGGTCTTTAAGGTCCTGCCAGGAACCGGATGGCGGTAAACCTAAGCAAAGAAATGTAGAAATTTAGGTTAATAAATCGTTGATTTCTTCTATCTTTTTTCTTCGTGTTACCTGACACTAGAACTCGGTATTGGGAACGTCTCGCTGGTGGTCCACGTGAGCTGCGACCGCGGTCTCCACCGCCACCGCCGCCTCCTCCACCGCGACCACCCCTGAACCCACCAGGTCCACCGCCTCTCGGGAATTCCACCCTCAACCTGTACCCATCGTAGTCATAACCGTCGCGTGCGTGCACCGCGTCTTCGGCATCCCTGCGAGCATAACAAAATCAACGTGAGCGTATATAACAACACAGACACACACATACACACAAAAAAAAAACAACATCAAAGATGGCCGCGCGCCGGTTACGTTTTTCAACTATTTCCATCAATTAAAAACATGGGATTGTGCAGTCACAAAGCGCGCCTTTTCGGTCGACTCCTTCGATATGTTTCTTTTTTTTGATGAACGTTCGAACGATGCACGTTTCTCGTCATATTTACCTGGCGTCCTCGAATTCGACGAATGCAAATGGTGGTCCTCTCCGGTTTTTCAAGTCAACAAAGTTCACTTTGCCGAACTTGTAGAAAAGGTCCTGGATGTCCTTCGTCCTGATGTCTGGCGGCAGATTGCCCACGTATATTCTGCAGTCGCTCCGGCTGTGAGACATCTTTCAACACTTTCACAATTAAAATTAAAAAATGCAAATACAGAATGAAAATACACAGTCGATGGATTCTCTCTCTTTATTCTCTCCTATTCGACTCTCCAACCCAAACCGAAAGCCGATCTCAAAATGGCTACCGGGACGCGCGCGCCTCTTTTATTGTTTTTCCAACGTTGCCAACCACGGAAACGACCAACACAAATTTTCCAAAAAAAAAAAACACTTTCTAAACACAACTACCAACTAAAAGCATAAAACTTAAATTAAATCACTTCTACAAGCATTCTAAACTCTCTGCTTAATTATTGTAGATAGTAAATGATCCTACCGATATCTTACAGGACCCAGCTAAATGTGAAGAGGTTTCCAGAAGGAAATTCATTACCGGAAGAAGAAGAATTATAAATTCCATTTTTACCAAGAACATCTATAATTCATGATAACATATTAATAAATATAATATATAGAACTAATACAATGTACGTTACCTCTTTATTTTGGTGTTACTTAAACTTTTGAAGATTCAACGGCAACCAAACTAACACACGTGTATTGAAAGTTGCCGTGCGGAACAAGAATATACAGAGTGTCTTTTAAGAAAATCGTATTTTTAAACGTTTCAAACAACTTGAATAAAATTAATTATTTTATTTTTAATATGTTTCATTAATTGATCATAAAAAAATAAAGTTTTTAGTTTTTAAATTATCACGAAAATTTTATTTTGAAATAACTTTAATAAAGTTAACGCATTTATTGTTGCAATATGAGTGTAATTATTATTTAATTATGATTTTTCAAAATTATAATGGAAATGTACAGAAATAACTTGAATAAAATTAATTATTTTATTTTTAATATTTTTCATTAATCGATCATAAAAAAATAAAGTTTTTAGTTTTTAAATTATCACGAAAATTTTATTTTGAAATAACTTTAATAAAGTTAACGCATTTATTGTTGCAATATGAGTGTAATTATTAAATAATTATGATTTTTCTAAATTATAATGTAAATGTACAGAAATAAAGAAAAGTTATATAAAATTATTCATATTAATTTTGAGTATTTGAAGTTAATTAATAAAATTATTAAACAAATCTAAAGATTCTAATTTGTTTTGAAAATTAGATAAATAATTGTTCGAAAAAAATACATTATACTTAGGAAAGTCGTTATCGTTACTTCCTTGATAACAACGTTACCATTAGAAACGGACAACAAACAATAAAATTGCAACAGCAACTAGATGAAATAGTTGTAAATGAATATAAAATAATTCATTATTGTTTCATGAATCTCGCAGATAATTGAAAAATGTGGACATTTCTAGTTTTCTTCATGACTCGTAATAATAATTAAAGATAACTCAAAAGAGTTTGCATACTTTTCATATATTAAATGTAATTTTGCTAAAATCTGTTTGCATTACATCAAAATATACAAAATGTATGCAGGTAATTCAGTCGAATTTAACTGAAGATGTTGAAGTTGAAGGTAGGTTTAACATCTCGTTCAATTTCATGAATTTTAATGATTGCATTGATAAATATTACGAAGAAATCTGATGAAACGAAGGAGGAGAAGTATTCTTTATAAAAAGCATAGATGGTGATGAAAACTGTAGTTTTTTTCCAAAATAAAATGTTGATGTTACCAATAAACCTGCACTCGTCAATATTTGTATATTTTTTTTCGTTTATCGGCGTAACCGCAGGTGGATTATCAGCAGGATGTTTTTGCACCGAAACTGCGGTCGACGAGGACTGGTATAAATGGAAGTCGCTGCAGCGACGAAGGCAGAGATCACTCGAACAGCCATGGCCACCGACAAGAAGCAGAACCTTTTGTACCTCTTCCACAGGCCGCAGGAGCCGTCCTTCGTTCCGAAAGGCGAAAACGCGGTTGCCTTCGATGTGCCCGCAAAATTCTTGGTAAGTAATTCGCAGTCTGTGATTGAACTTTTACTATGTTTTCTATTTGTCGGTGTACAGCCGGAGAGGTACAAGCAGCTGGGGACTCAGCTCGAGAGCCGTTTCGGTGAAGCGACCTCGCAGAAGATCAGTTTGGTCGACATCAAGGAGCCGAATCTGACGAACATCATGCGTTTGGGAAGACACGAGAACTTCTCCCTGTTCCTACCCAAGCACCAGAACATCGCTGCCGAACTCATCAACATCTTCATGGGTAAAAAAATGCAGTTATATCCATCGGGTAATTGTAATTAACTTGTATTAATGCAGCTGCAAAGAACGTGGACGAGCTTCAATCTTTGGGTGTTTACTGCCGCGATCGTGTCAACCCTTACCTCTTCGTCTACGCCTTCTCCGTGGCTCTGCTCCATCGCCCGGACACGCAAGGTGTTAATCCACCAAACTTCGCGCAGACCTTCCCCGACAAGTACTTCCAAAGTGGAATCTTCGCCAAGGCTCGTGAGGAAACCAGTGTCGTTCCAACCGGATCCAGAGTAATTAACTAACTGTAAATTAATAAGAATTCAGTTGATGATCTTGATTTTTATGTGTAGATGCCAATCGAAATCCCAAGGGATTACTCAGCTTCTGATTTGGATGAGGAGCACAGAGTCGCCTATTGGCGTGAAGACATCGGTGTTAACCTTCACCATTGGCATTGGCATCTGGTGTATCCGACGAACGCCGCTATGAGCATCGTCAACAAGGACAGACGCGGTGAACTGTTCTATTACATGCACAATCAATTGATCGCCAGATACAACGTGGAGCGTCTCTGCAATAAGCTGAAGCGTGTCGTCAAGTACTCCGAGTTCGAGAAACCCATCAAAGAGGCGTACTTCCCGAAATTGGACAGTCTCGTTTCGAGCAGGACGTACCCGGCTCGCGTCTCCAATCAAGTCCTGCAGAACCTGAACCGTCAGCAGGATGAGATCGTCATGGACGTGGCGGCTTTGGAGCGCTGGAGGGACAGGATCTTCGGCGCAATCCATTCAGGATTCGTCATGGATGTCAGTGCTTCACCTTAAACTTATAAAATAAGTCTTAATTAAACAATTTTCAGAGAGATGGAAAGCAAATACCATTAACGGAAAACGAAGGTATCGATGTTTTGGGCAACGTTTTGGAATCCACTATCTTGTCTCCGAATCCCGACTTTTACGGAAACTTCCACGGCATGGGACACGTCTTCCTCTCGTACATCCACGACCCAGATCACAGGCATTTGGAGAACTTTGGTGTTATGGGCGATTTCGCCACAACCATGAGAGACCCGATGTTCTACCGCTGGCATTCGTACATCGACGACATCTTCTTGGAGTACAAGGCCACTTTACCCAGATACAATGTCGGTCAGTTGAACTACACCGGCATCACCGTCGATTCCGTGTCGATGCAAGGAGAAGGAAGCAAACCCAACGAGATCAACACCTTCTGGCAACAATCCGACGTCGATCTATCGCGCGGCATGGACTTCCAACCTCGCGGATCCGTCTTCGTCCGATTGACTCATCTGCAGCATCAACCGTACACCTACAACATCACCGTCAACAACGCTTCGGGAAGCCCGAAGATGGGCATGTGCAGGATCTTCCTCGCGCCCAAATTCGACGAGAGAGGCAACCCGTGGTTGTTCAGGGACCAGAAGAGCATGTTCATCGAACTCGACAAATTCAAAGTCAACCGTACGTATCTTCGTTCTGCAATTTAACATCAATCATAATTGGATGATTTGCAGTGAAAGCTGGAAAGAACACCATCACCAGGATGTCCACTCAGAGCTCAGTCACCATTCCGTTCGAGAGGACCTTCAGCGATCTGGACACGAACCGCCCGACAGGTGGAGACGCTTTGGCCCAATTCAACTTCTGCAACTGCGGATGGCCCCAACATCTTCTCCTCCCTAAAGGAACACCGGAAGGTTACGTCTGCCAACTCTTCGTCATGGTTTCCAACTACGATTTGGACAAGGTGCGTTCTCTAAAAAAAATTTACAAATTATTCATTTCGTTTAACGTATTTCTTCTGTAATTCAGATCGATCAAGATGAGACCGGAGTTTGCAACGACGCTGCAAGCTTCTGCGGATTGAAGGACAAGAAGTACCCGGATCGTCGTTCCATGGGCTACCCCTTCGACAGGATGCCGAGGAACGGAGTGGACAACCTGCAGCAGTTCCTCACGCCCAACATGCGCGTCCAAGATTGCATCATCAGACACAACAATAGGACAATTAGACGCAAGAATTAGAAAGGGAACACAAAGAAAACATGTTAATTTCGGCTTTACAAAAAAATATATTCCATAAGCATTATTATTCAGTGTGAAATCTCATGAAACACTTGACGTGAACCCCGACGTCGCACTTGCAGCACCTGGTGGTCGTCTTCGCCGAGCATTCGCCGCACCTGGTCTGCTTCGCTTGAGGCACCACGTAATGATTGAACCCATCATACCTAGCCTCGGATTTAACAATCCTCTTCTTAAACGAAACGCTCCTATCAACGTTAACAACCTTCGCGCATCTCTCCAAATAATAAACCACGCAACTCCTCTTAAAACTCAGCAAATCTAAACAATTCCCCGCATTCTTGTAAAGCAAGAAAGCATTGCTCATAATCAAATCCAAAGCGACGCGAAAATCAATCGACTTATCAAAATATTTAATCGGATTACACAACAAATTCTTCTCAACAATCTCCAAAACCTCGCGTTTAACAAAACAAGGCCTCACCCCCAAATACCCCAACTCGTACAACAACGAATTATCAGCGTGAACATTCTCGAAACTAACCGCCTCCAAAGCAACGAACTTCTTCAATTTATACGCGAAATCCAGGATAACCCAAGGCCCGATTTTACTCCCGTCCAACAACAGATACGGACAGTAACCGCTCCTATCCGATCCCACCCAAAATTTCCCAATTCTCCCAACGCAAAACTCCCTCTCACCTTTCGAACAATTCCCCACAAACGTCTCGTTGATCATTTCCAAAATCTTAAGAAAATTTCCACCCTCCAAACTCGAATAAATCGCCTCGAACCTATCTCTAGCTATAGCATTCGCCACTAAACTATTATACGTATCCGGCGATCTCTCCCAAAGCATTCTCTTCCTCGCCACGTCCAAGTAACCGGACAAATAAAGGACAGCCAGAAAACAGCGAATTTCATCTCCGGTGAAATGTTTGTCCTTTCCTGCGTTCGCTTGAATCGTCAGCGAATCGATAAAATCTTCGCTTATGAAATATTCCAGGTAATAAGCGGGGTTGTCTGGTTTGCTGGTGGAAACTGTAAAGTTCAAAATTAAATTTTCTAATTACACGTGTGATTTATTAGGTCAATTTTAACTTACACGTTGGTTCGTTATTAAAGCGGAGCGTTTTGCTTTGAGGGAAATAATTCATTTTCAGTTACAACCGGTTTTCGAAAAGTGCAGTTTCGTACTGAACGCAGGTAAAAATTGTGAATGGTTATGAGAAAAATCTATTGAATTTCAGTTCATCCCTCAGCGAATTGGAGTTTTTACCTGATTTTCATTGTTGGAACAGTTTAAGAAGTTAGAAATTATTTTGCAAAAACCAAATTTTGAGCAATTATCCTAGTTATTTAAGGTTTATGCGTAAAATTATAAAAAACTGTTTTCAACAATATAACTTTCTTGGAATGTTTTTGCTCTTTGCCATTATTTAATTATTAAAATTTGATTGTAGGAGGCTTTGCAAAGTTTGATTAAAGTTTATGCAATTGTTAGAATTGACAAGTTTTTTAAATTTTTATTGGAATTGTTGCTTGTGGTTTTGATATTATTGGATTTATAGAATTATTAGGATTTGTAAAGGTTTCCTGAAATTCCATGAAATGAAAAACGGTTACCAGGAATAGGCAATGTATGTGTTTGATGTGTTGCATACGGTTTGATGTTGGAGGTTGGGTAGTTCTAATGCGCCTGACGTTTCTCCAGCGTTGATCAATAAAATGAATGGCTTCAAATGCCATGAATAATGAGCGAGAAGTATTATCCTCGTCGTGACGCATGGTAACGGCGTTCTCGATCCTCTCCGCTCCGCTCATCCAGTGTCTTCAACTAGTGGCGTCGCGTATCTGAGTCGTCGAAGACGTTGCAGAAAGGAAAGCAGTAGAAGACGAAGGAGCGAGTAAGAATCGAAGTGAATTATAAATGCCAAAGCACAGATTCGTGCGGCCAAGGAGCAGGACGATGATGAACGACTTGGAGGATGTCACCGGAGACGTGACGGTGGTGGACGTCTACGACATAGCTTCAGAGATTGGGAAGGAATGCGAGAAGATCATCGACCAGTACGGAGCGGAGGCCGTGACCGTTCTCCTGCCGAAGGTGATCAACGCCTTGGAGCTGCTGGAGAGCCTTGCCCAACGTAACGAGAGGGAGAACACCCAGCTGTACGAGCTTCAGGCGAAGATCTCGCAACTGGAGAACGACAAGATCGAGAAGGCCGAGTATCGACAGAAATTCGATCAGGTATATAAAATCATCGAAAACTAGAAATTCTACTTGTTGAATTTAAATCGCAAAATAATACCTAAATCAGCTGGTTAAATCATCATTTGATTATTTAGAAAGAATGAGTAATGCGTTTCAAAAAAAAAGAATAACAAACGTAAGTGACGTTTCCTTGTTGATTCCAGTGCACCAGCAAATTGCTTCCCATTTGATCAACCTTGAAGCACGTAACTTAATTAACTGCTCCACTTGACGCAATTGTCAACATTTCACCTAAGCCAACTCTCCTGCGTTAATTCCATTTGAACTTTGATCAAACCTTTTCCCCTGTTAATTTGACCTTTTCAATTTTTGGCATTTCCTCATCCTCCTGAGCATTAAATCTCAATACGCTTCACGAAAAATCAATGCACTTTCATTTACTTTACCATTTTAAAATGGAATTTCAAAAAGAAATCCAAGATCAAGGAAATTCTTCATAAGAAAAGTGAACATTGTCAATATGATAACGTAGAATAATTTCTTATTAACTTATAAATATACAAGATAAATTTGTTTGTAATTGCTTCATTTATTTTTTTATTGCTTTTTTTTGTCCTTGCAATTAAAATTGTTTTATCATTGAATCGGTTAGATTTAATGCGCGGAAATGATTCACATAAAGTTGTTGTGCTGTTAGATAATAACAGTTGAATTAAAGCATTATGAACGTATAATAATATTATTTGAAATTTGATGAATTGTTGCTAATTGTTTTTTTGATTAATTAGGAGTTGGAGGCGATCGAAGATCAATGGCGTTCGGAATCCAAAGAGCTCGTGGCTCTGGTTTCGCGGCTTCAGGGGGAGAACAGGAGGTTGGTGAAGGAGCACGAGAACAGCCAGCATTACGAACCTCGTTCTCCTACCGAAGTCATCTGCGACGGGGCGATGCTGCAGAGGTTGAAGGCCACTTTGGAGAAGCAGCGCGACGAAATCAGGACCAAGGATAAGGCCATACAGGATAAGAGCTGCGACATAGACACGGTAAATTTGTTGAAATGAAATGTTTAATTTATATTAATTATTTGTTTTTTTTTGCAGTTGAGGTCGCAGGTCGACAGGTTGACGGGCATCAGTAGGGAGTTGCGTAGGAAGCACAAGGTTCTTCAGAATCAGGTGAGGAATTTGTGCGACGAGAGAGCAGATTTCCTGGTGCAGCTGCAGGATCAGCATCGCGATGTTACAGCTTTGAGGCAGAGGCTCGGATTGGCCGAAAAGGAGAACGAGGATCTATCTAAAGTGAGGATTTTCGAAAGGATGATTGTGTCGTTATTGTTGTTTGGATTTGTTGTTGCAGTGCGATACGCCTGTTCCGAGCAACAAGGCCGTTTACGATTTGGACGATCCAAATAGACCGCGCTTCACCACAGCCGAACTGAAAGATATACTGAACGAGAGGAACGAGTTGAAGGCGAGGGTGAGCGATCTGGAGGACGAGTTGGATACGTACAGGCCCAAAGAAAAAGTCGAGACGTGAGTTGTTACGTTAGGCGCTCCTCCGTAGCATCCTTCGGCTTCTTTTACTTTATTTTTTTCTCTCTCTTTTTTTCTTTTGCAATTTCCATAAAAGTCCTAGCAGTCAGTCAGATGCGTTCATTGAGACACACGAGGACGCGTGCAGTGTAGTATTCAACACGATGGCTAGCAGCCTCATAGCCTCGACAATATTCTCCGAGTAAGTACTTCCAACATCTCACCGAAGACGCATGCAATACATTTAATATCTTCTAGATGATCTATTTTTCTGATTTCGTTTCGTTAATTGTTAATTGTGTTTAGGCCATTGAACGAGGACGCTCCGGTGCAAGGTCCGCTTCCGTACGAGCCGGACGACGCTCCGTGGAAGAAATCCTCAGAGTCGGGAATCAGGAAATTGTAAGTGAAAAATCAATAGAAATTTGTAAAGGGTTATCGGTAAACGATTTTCGCTTCTGGTGATGTGTCTATTATAGAGCTTGGGTTCGCTCGATCTTGAGGTCTCTGCGATGACACCGATGTTTCTTTCTAGCCCACTAGACACCGTCGGCACCGACCACCTCTCAGCACGCGCACTGATCAAGAATAAAATGTTAAATGCCTTTGCAGCTTTCGCAAGATATTCTCCGAGAGCAGCGGAAGTGGCGGCGGTTTTCATCGCCGTAGCATATCCACGCTATCTAAGATGGCTCTATCGGCGACCACCGAACCTATACCAGTTTAACGTGGACACGAGCTTCTTCCTCTTCTACTTCTTCCACTTGGACAAGGTCAGGTAAAAATATGTCTTCTGCATTTGCGAAACTAAAAAAAAATCAACAGCAACAAACAAACTTTATAATGCAAAACACGAGCACAATATTATCTCGGCACAGCAGCAATTGGATGGGCTCCTCCACGAATCTCCACGATTTTTTTTTGTTTGTTTGTTTTTAAAAGAATTCATAAAGCGTGCTCCGAGTTTTCGTTTGTTTTGTTTTGTTTTGTTTTTGGAAACGACTTGTGCAGAAATTATACTTTTAAATTGTTTTCTTGTGTGCGTCGATTTTATTATATTTTCTATCAAAACATTCGATTACTAATTGTACGCTTCAGCCATCTAAAACGAAAGCTTTATCGAATTGAACAGTCATGTTTTAAATGATAATATTCATCATTATTATTATTATTATTATTTTTTATATACCAAATTATATATTTTTTTTTTATATACATATAAATATTTCTATTATTTTTGTTCGTTTGTTTGTTTTTCTTGTATATTTAATTTATTAATGGACTTAATACAACGGCATTTAATAAACTGCGTGACAACGTACCACAATTGTTTTTTCCAATTTATATTTTCTTTTGTTTCTCAAAGCCAACCAATTATATATTTGAATCAATTTTTCTTATTAATAAAATTGATTTCAACATAATTATTTCATACATGGACTTTCTAATATTTGACAATTTCTCAAGCCTACTTATTGTTATTCAATCAATTTTATATATTGTAATATTCATATTTCGCACCTAGACGTGCGAATTCTATGTTTCTTCTTTCGCAATACACTTTTTCTTCGCATTAACCTAATTTTATTTCTTTTAATAATTATTTCATTTCTCAAGCAACGCGTTTGTTTAATACACATTTACTATGTGATCTTTCCTTAGCAACAAGTTTGTTTTTTTTTTCGTACCTCGAAACAGCAGATTTTTGTTTTTTGTTTCCTAGGTAACCGAATGCATAGCTTTGCGTCGCGAGGGAAAAGATGATGGATGAATGTGTCCCTCGCCGTTTCTTCTTCTTCCGTGCATATTTCTTCGTTTTTTCTTCTCATTCTCGTTGTTTATTTTGTTTCGTCGCCCTCCGTCGATCAATATTTGACCGCGGCGTCGCTCGCCCGAAAATAGATGCAATCTAATTCGCTTCTCCCGTGAAAACGTGTGACCTGATTTCGGTGGTAAATTCACCCTCAGCACACACATACGGTGTTACGTAATTATTAATCCCGTCGTTAAAACTTAGGGGCGGCGAGAGCGTTAATTTTGATTGCATCATCAAACCCCCCGACGCAAAGCGCCAAAATGCACGATTTTGGATCGCATCCAGGTTTCATTGATTTTTGGAAAGAATGAAAAATGTATCTAGATATACTGAAAATATTTATAGTTTAGACAATGATTGTGATTTGTTTTCCAATGTTGCAATGATTTAGATAGATTTGTGACTTGGATAGAGATGATTGAGAGAATTGTTTGGGATCAAAGCGATACATATTGAGGCAATTGTTTTGTTAGGAGAGGTTGATGATGAGGAAAGTGTGTGGAATTGGGTGAGAAATAAAGTCGATGCGAAAACGCTACTGCACTTAAGTCAATAGTCGTGTTTGTATAACAAACAAACGCGCTTAACTTTGAACAGACTTAAGTATACAAACATAATTTTGTTTTATATAATCCACAAACTTTATAGTGTATATTTAATTTAACTACTGTATTCTTTGCGATGTCGTTAATTTCAATGTATATTCTTAGCGCGTTTAAAGATGAAGTAAAAAAAAAAGAGAAGTGTTTAGGATGTAATGTGATTAGTTTGCGTAATGGAGTCGATGATCGATGAGAGCGTTCCGTAACTCAAGATCGTCGTTTGTTTCCGTTTCTCGTCTTGAGCGTCTCGATTTCACCACTCTCCGGGGTCCTCTCAATTTCACACCAGTGTTTTCTTATCATGTACACACACACACGTAACTATATAATTATATACGAATGTACTGTTCTTTTTTTCTAAGGGTAGGCAAACGAGCACTGGATTTATGTATAGAGTATATATAAATAATAATAATATTAATAATAAAAGTAACACGTTGAAAGTGTGGGTTCAATAAAAAGAAACAAACTTATTAATAATAAACTATAAATCAAGTATAAACGTTTTTGTAGAAAGTGCCAAAGTGTATATTATATGATAAATAAATAAATGAATAAGGTAGTAACAAATGTTTGTGTATTAATTAGTCAATTAAAAACTACTAAATATTTTTTATATTTTACAAATAACAAATGTATGTGTTAATTTCTCTTAAAATGATGAATGATAACATGATAAATGCATCCAATTTAGACGTCTTTTGTGTAACAATTATTGTAGTGAATGAAGCAATTTGGATATTTATTGCTCAATCTTTCACTATTTACTTAAGTCGCATTTGCTGAATCTCCGACACAACGACGTTCTTTATACCTGAAAGAAAAAAAATTGGGACCTTAAACTGCGTACTTGATCAAGGATGCATTAGGCGCAGGAGTGAGTTAAGCGAGAGAAAAACCAGTTTCTCTCGCTCTTGTCCTCTCTTCCGACTAAACTACCTACATACTACACGTGCCGATTCTAGTTGTAGTGTAGTACATACACGCGTTTGTACGCTCGAGGAAGAAACATGTCGACCGGTGCACAGAAGAAGACGTATTTCGATAAGAGGAAGGAGGCACGCGGGAAGGTGTCCTCGGGATTGACCCACGAATGCGGCGTCTTCGGAGCGATCTCTTCGAGCGCTTCCGAACCAGGCAACTTCGAGGTGGCTCAGCTGATCCTGGTGGGATTGGAAGCGCTCCAGCACAGGTAAGAAATTTAAATAGAATTAACAATAGATTTTAAGTGGAGTTAATTTGAGGATGCTTTTTTTTTTAATTGGGATGCTTTATAATTGATTTCTTCGAAACGCTCGTCTGGTTGCATAACGTTTTGTTTCTATTCCAGAGGGCAGGAATCCGGTGGGATCGTGACCAGCGAAGGCTCCAACCACTTTCACATCCAGAAGGGTATGGGTTTGGTGAGGAACATCTTCAACGGGGATAACATTAAGAATCTCGTCGGACATCTGGGTATCGGACACACGCGGTACTCGACGAGCGCCGCATCGGAATCGGTGAACTGCCAACCGTTCGTCGTGCACTCGATGCACGGTTCATTGGCGGTCGCCCACAACGGGGAGCTGGTGAACTGCGCGTCTCTGAGGAAGAAGGTCTTGGATAGGGGCGTCGGTTTGTCGACGCACTCCGACAGCGAACTCATCAGCCAGGCGCTCTGCTTGATTCCACCAGAAGGTGAAGTCGACGGTCCCGACTGGCCGGCTCGCATCAAGCATCTGATGCATCTGGCTCCGCTCAGCTATTCCGCCGTCATTATGCTCAAGGACAGGATTTACGCGGTACGGGATCCGTACGGAAACAGACCGCTGTGCTTAGGGAAATTCGTCACATTCGATGGTGAAAACACTTCTTCACCCAATTCCATCGCAGAATCCCCTATAAAGAATCCGAATGCGTTTAGAATCTACAGGCAAGGACGTCGATGATGGATGGATCGTTTCGTCGGAGTCCTGCGCTTTCCTCAACCCGATGCAGTACATGAGGGAGATCCTCCCGGGCGAGATCGTCGAGATGAGTCGCGAAGGCGTCAAGTCCATTTCAGTCGTCGCGAGGCCGGAGAACAAGTCGTTGGCGTTCTGCATCTTCGAGTACGTGTACTTCGCCCGACCCAACAGCGTCTTCGAAGGACAGGAAGTCTACACGGTGCGCCTCAGGTGCGGAGAGCAGCTGGCGATCGAACATCCTGTCGAAGCGGACGTTGTCGGTTCCGTGCCGGAATCTGGAAACGCGGCAGCGCACGGCTTCTCCAGACAAGTAACTTCTATTCATTCGACTACATACAAAATCCAATAATAATAATAATATTTCACAGTCGAAAATTCCGTTCGGAGAATTGCTTACCAAAAACACGTACGTCGGACGCACCTTCATCCAACCCAGCAACAGACTGCGACAACTCAACGTCGCTCTGAAATTTAGTGAGTATTTTTTGTGTGTCTTCACTAAAATTTCTTGATAATTTGACTGATAATTTCTTTAAGGTCCGATTTCCACCAACGTCATGGGTAAACGCGTGATCCTCATCGACGATTCCATCGTCCGAGGAAACACCATAGGTCAGATCATCAAATTGCTGCGGAAAGCCGGCGCCAAGGAGGTTCACATCCGCGTAGCCAGTCCGCCGCTCAGGTATCCATGCTACATGGGTATTAACATACCCACGAAGAAGGAGCTCATCGCCAACTCTCTGGACTGCAAGGAATTGGCGAAGGAGGTGGGAGCAGACAGTTTGCAGTACTTGAGCGTTGACGGTTTGGTGACGGCCGTGCAACGAGATATCAAGGATAAGGGCAACGATCTGGGACATTGCACCGCTTGCTTGACCGGCGTGTATCCCGGTGGAGTTCCGGAGGATTTGGATTGGTAGCAACAGCATATCTTTCTTCATAAATTACTTATCTCTTTTTTTACACGTTTATAATCACTGATAAAAATAAATAGCGTCGATGCATTTCTTCTACAAAATATACAAATCTTAAGACTTAAGCGTATCCATTTTGATTATCACGTGGTGCTGCTGGACGAGCTGCGCGAAGACGATCGTCTCCTCCGCTTTTTCGACTTCTTCCTGTGCGACTTGGATTCTCGCCTGGTCGTGCTCCTTCTCCTTTAATTCAATCAATCATTATCTGAATGACTAAATAAATAAAAACTCATACCGTTTATGTGACTTTTTCCTTTTGTGCGATCGTTTGCTCTGTCTAATCTCGCCGTCCTCTGATTCGGAATCGTCGATCTTTAAAATCTCCTCTTTCTTCTCGTCATCCTCCGTGCGCGTGATGGTTCTACTATCCTCGGTGTTCTCGCTCTTCATCTTCAGGAACATCGCCGCCCTTTTGCGCCTGTCCATCTGCAGAGCGCGATCCTTCGGTCGCGTCGACGACACCAAACGCTCCTTGGCTGCCAACGCTATCTTGTCCTTTATTTTATCTTCAGCTAAATATTTTAAATTGAATTAATTGTTACAGTTGAGTATCCAATATTGTACCTCTGCGAGCGTCGCGTCTCTCTTCCAAATCGTCCGTCAGATCAATCATCTCCAAGATGGGATCGTCCCCATCCATGAACGGTTTCCCATTACCCTGCGTCTCCTCCTGACTTTCTTCCTGTTGCTTCTCCTCCACCACTGGCGTCTCTTGCTGCGTTGATTCCGGAACAATTTCGCTAGGAACACTCGTTTCTTCCTCCTCCTGTGCAATCTCCTCCTCGTCGCTCTCAAGCGGAAGCGCGCTCTTGATTTCTTTAGAAGTCTCCTCCTTGGGTTTCTTGATCGAAAACGATACTGGCGCAATGACTTTCTTCTCTTTGGATGATTTTGACGACAAATTGCTCCGATACACGTCAATGGTATGCCTGTAAAATTTATAGTACTTGTGCGATTCGCGAACAAAGTCGAAGCGATCGTCGTCTTTGGCCCTGACTATAGTCTCGAACTCGTCCCCATTCTTCGCCACGTAATTGGCCATTTTATCGATGATGGCGGCCTTGTCGTCGGGCGGAACGACAAAACTCATCTTCTCGTCTTTACTTTTATCACTAACAGACTTCTCAATCTGCTGTTCCTCGGCGTCCTCATCCTCATCGGAATCGCTGCTGTAGTGCACCAAACTGAGGAGAGGATTCGTTTTCACCACCGGTTTCTTTTCGGGCGGTTTCGGAGGTTCCGGTGGTCGCTCCACCTGCGAATTCGAAGCTGTATTGTAGGCGTTCTGCTGCATGTACTGATTGCAGGACGCCTGCGCGTAATGCGCAGCTTGACTCTGTATCCTCTCCTGCATCTGCGGATTCTGCACCAAAGTCTGCACATCGCAGTTAGCTAAAATACATAAAATAATTACGACAATCTTTTGTGAGGATTCTGGAGTACCTTGTGCGGCGTATTGTTGGGCGATCTGCTTGTAGTATTCGTAATACTGCATGGAGTAGCAGTACTGGTAGTATTGCTGCTGATCCTGCGGTATTTGAGCTGGAGGTGGAGTCGGCTCTTCCTGGACGACCTGCGGGGCGGTGCCCTGTATCCTGGTAACCAATTGCGCGTAGGCGCAGTCCGCCGCCGGTTTGTATGGGATTTGCGGAATCTTCGGAGGCGCAGTCACCTGCACGACAAATACCACAGAATTAGGATTTTTAAGCACCGAAGAACCGCACTCATCCGAAACGAATCGAAGTTATTATTAATTTTTTTTTGCAACACATCGAATTAGAATTGAGAATTTGAAGAAAAAAAAAAATAATAATAGATCAACAAAAATTAAGTGGAAGGAAGATATATAAATATAATAAAGTATAAAATTGGGGCGCATTTTTGAGAGGGGCAGTGCTTTCTTTATAACAACATACGACCTGCAAACAGAAGAGAAAAACACAGTATGAGTAAATATCGTCAAGTAGAGAGTACCACTAAAGTCACAGACATATTTTATAATATTATATTGAGTTAAATAAAAGACATACCATATGATCAACATCCGTTCTATTTTTTTTTTTGTTATATAAATATTTGCTATTTTAACCACTGACATTTTACTAGTTTTGTTCGACACTTCTCGGAGAAACAATACACTAAATAAAGATTTACATAAAACTGCTAAAATCGAATTAGGCAAACGAATAGTCTCATGATGTGAACCTACCAGCGGCGTGACCGGCGCCAAACTCGGATGCAAATAGTCCTCTTCCGCGCTCTGGCTGTCTTCCTTTTGCTGCTCCTCTTTGGCCGCCGATTCCTCTGAAAATCATCGCTCTATTAGTACAAACACAAATTGAACGTTCAACGTTCGAAACCTTTCTGGCTGTGGGTCTTATATCGTCCGGATTTGATTGCGGAGAGGACGTGCCTGTAGTACTTGTAGAGCGCATCGCTTTGGTTCATGAAGTTGAATTGAGGGTTCTCAGCCTGCTTGGCTTTAATGAGGATCTCCATCTGGGGTCCTTGCTGGCTCACAAACAGTGCAGTCTTCTCAATCCTAGCATTCTCTTTCATAGTTTTAGGCTGAATTGTAAAAAAAATTAAATGTATGTTCTCGTTCAGCTGCAAATCTTCACATACAATATCTATGTCAGCAGGCACGTCAAGTTCAGGTGGAGGAATGTAGGCTTTGACTTCTTCCTCACAGGTGGGAATGGATTCTTGAGAGCTTTCCCTATCAGGGTCCTGAGGTACATCATAACTATAACTATATTCATTGGCTTTCTGTCTCTTCAATGCTTCCTCTGCAATAAAATCAATAATATCGAAATATAAAGTAAATCTATTGGATTTACCTTTATACAAGGCTTCCTCCTCTTCGTTGGTGTGCAGAGAGTAATACCTCTCTTCATCACAGCGCTGCTCCAACTTCCTATCTGCATCACTCAGATCTAGCCATCTCGTTGCATGGTAGCCTTCCTTAGAGGCTTCGCAGGAGGACAAATCGGATAAAGCACCTCTGCCATCGTACCTGGAAAACAAAACATTATCATCAAATACATCAAATTGATAAACATCACTCCTAACCTATCAATTTTTAATTTCTCATCTCCCATCCATGGGATTAGGTGTTTGCCCTGATCGATGTATTGGGCCTTCTCGTCATCCCTAAACAACTTGCAGGCGTATCCAAACACCAGGAGATCATCGAAATTATCCTTCACCTGCTTCTTCCTCAAAATTCCAGTCTCGCTCCATTTCGACATGTTTCAAATCTTCACCTTTTTCAATTCTGTTGTTGACACTACACTTCATGATCTCCTACCCCCAACCACATGAACATAGCATACGAACAAAACCACAAATCACTTAATTACCTCATTTAAAATACAAAACATTTACGCAACGGAAAGTTTAAAGACAGATAAACACAATTACATTTCATATAAATACTCATTGTTAAGTATAATTGAGTTTAAGAAGTAGAAGAAAGTTATCGAGCGAAGTAGGCAACACATCGATCAACCCTTGCTATCAGCTGTTAGGCTTTGGCAGACGTCGGTACTTTGCTCCTGTTTTCATCAGCAAATACACAAACAATTCCAACGATAGGCCAATAAGAATCTCCGGGAAAGCTTCTAAATTCCAGTTCGACCAAATCGCATCGTCAATTCCAACATGAAGGAGATAATTTCATTCATGTAAGCAGCATTTCTATAAACCGTTGCAAGAGTTGGAAGAAAAGTTTGTAATAAGCATATGTTCTTTTCTGTTTCAGGTTCGAGACTTTCCTCACACTGAAAATGTTGCTCGTTCTGTTTCTCTGCATACTGACAATCTTAACTATTGTTGTACCCGCAATGCTAGTGTTGCTGAGACTCAAATACTGCATATACAAAGCAAAGGCGAATCCCAAGAAGCTCAAGGTGGCTTTCTTCCATCCGTACTGCAATGCTCTAGGTGGTGGAGAGAAAGTGCTTTGGGTGGCGATACAAACACTCCAGAAGAGGTAATTGACCAGAGGATTATTGATTTTATCAGATAGTTCAATGAGTTGTCTATAGGTGGTGAAGCTGTATTTATTTTTTTTTTAATTGATTAATCTGAGATCATTACATCTAATACAATTGCATTGTCTTACAAGATTACAGATTTTAATGTTTGTCTTTCAGGTATCCAACTGCTGAGATCTCTGTCTTTACCGGGGACGTCGAGGCAACGCCCTCCGAGATTCTGCAGAGAGTCGCCAGTAATTTGAACGTTAAGGTTGACCCGAAAGTCAAGATTGTTTATCTGCACAAGAGGTCGGGTTTGGAGGCGGCCAGATATCCGATACTGACGCTTCTCGGACAAGCTTTGGGATCGATATGTTTGGCCTTCGAGGCTCTGGGACAACTCAATCCGGACATCTTCATCGATACCACCGGGTTCTCCTTCACCCTCCTGGTGTTCAAGGTCATCGCTGGATGCAAGACCGCGTCCTACGTTCATTATCCGACAATAACCACAGATATGATCGAGAAGGTCTCTAGTCGTAGATCCATGTACAATAATCGAAGCTACATCGCCAAAAGCCCTTTCTTAACATACGGAAAACTGGTTTATTACAGAATGTTCGCTGCGGTAATAACATTCTTGCATGTTATTGACAAAAATAATCATTTGTAATTGGTTTTTTTGTTGTAGGCCTACTCGTTCGCCGGGCAATTCTGCGATTTGACCATGGTGAACTCGACTTTTACCATGGAACATTTGACCGTCCTTTGGAATAAACCCATGCATCTGATCTATCCTCCTTGCGACGTAAGTCATCTGGTGAAGCTACCCAAGGATGAAGCTAAGAAGGCGAACATCCGGATACTCTCCCTCTCTCAATTCCGTCCCGAAAAGGATCATCCGTTACAGCTGCAAGCTCTGTACGAGCTTCGCGAATTGATTCCAGACCAACTCTTCGCCAACGTGACTTTGGTGATGTGCGGCGGCTGCCGCAACGAGGACGACAAGAAGCTCGTCAAGGATCTCGTCGATCTCAGCAAGCATCTCAGCTTGGAGAACAACGTCGAGTTTAAGGTGAACATAAGCTATCAAGATCTGCTCAAAGAACTGGAGTACGCTCAGATCGGCATACACACCATGATCGACGAGCATTTCGGGATCAGCGTCGTCGAGCAGCTGGCCGCCGGTCTGATGACCGTCGCTCACAGATCGGGTGGTCCTCTTCTGGATATTATCGAGACTTCGGAAGGATCCAGATTGGGTTTCTTGGCTGTCACTCCATTGGAATACGCTCACACTTTGAAGACTATCCTGGAGATGGAAGAGGTGGCGATTATGGGTATCAGGGAGAGGGCCAGAGCCTCCGTGGATCGCTTCTCCACCAAGAAATTCGAAGCAGAGATCTTGAGGGCCGTGGAGCCGCTCTTCCAATATTGAGACTTCAATTTCTTTTTACACACTGTTATTTTCTAAATGTAATTTATATAATTTATTAGCTTTGGAATGCATGCATGTTTTTTTTTCGCTACCTTCCAACGACTGTATTTATTTCCAGTTTTGTATATCTTTTTAAAAAATGTAATGGAAACTATATAAATCGAAAGAACGCAGTTTGATTTAAACCAACAATCAAAAATATTCAGAAATTTATTAATCTTTACCTATTCACTTAACTAGACTAAATCATTCTTTAATTTGATAATGTTATAGATTTCCTTCTTTAATCGAGTTTTCCATAACAAGTGTATTTGGACGAAAGATAGCGCCACCTGGAGCGTCGCGACGCTCCTCGTTTCCTTGGACATTTCAAACAATCTTCAGTTGCCTTGGTAACAGTACTATTAATAGTTATGGTTCCATGGCGACTGCATCATCAACTTGACGATTTCAGTAAATGTTACTGCAGTTTTTTTCAAAAACATGGAATTAATCGAAATTTAATTTGGATAGGAAAACAATATTCTTGCTACGTTTACTTTGATTGTTTGTGAGCAGTTAAATATTAGTGGAGTTTGTACTAATCTTAGGAAATTGGAAAAAAAAAAAACATGGAACTAATCGGAATTTCATTTGGGAAAGGAAAACTCTGCAGATTTTTTTTTTGTTTAATTCCTCCACCTAGGGGCGCAGCAGCAATTTTCCTGCTGGCTCCTTTGCAGGCGCAACTCGAACGATATGGATGTAATGAAACTGGGGGGATAATCCCAGGCGAGGATTTCGGCCGGGAAATTGAGTTGTGCGACGGTCCTCGTTCCTCCGCATCCACCTCTCCAACCCAATACTAAATTGTTAAAGACGTTGCTCGTATTTCTATTATTGTCCGGAGATGCACGTTCGGTGTGTTTAGGCCAAGTTGCAGATTAAATTAAGCCGAATATGGGGATTCCCCGCCGCAAAACGACCGTCGTTATCCGCCCCGCTAAATGGGGAGAGGAGGATGCGAAGAAAACCGCTATTTTTGGGTTTGCTGAAGAGAGTTATGTTCTCGGATAGTTTTTGGTACATTTAACAACGGTACATCCGTGAGATCCGGCAGATAAATAGGTGGGGAACATCTGTAGTTTCGGTGGAGAATGGATGTTTTTCTCTCTTTGCTTTGTTTTCTTTCCTACCCTCTTTTTCTCTCTCCGCTCTTCGCCTGGAAATGAGCCAGAACAATCTGTTGCTATTCGTTTTTCCTCGACGTACAATTGGCGGTATTGATATTTCCAAGGGAGATGGGTTTTCCGCTCCTCCGAAGACGAGACGGATGCAAGTCCCTGAAGGAGTAGGAGCAGGAGGCCTCTATAAATAACCGTCCTCGAGGATCGATGCATTCATATTAATAACATCGTTGCATACCGTAAAGCACTGTCTACCATCCGAGTGATTACTTTTTAATTAGATTTTGATGCATTCCGGTCCCTTCGCAACATCTACTTTGAGTATTTCAAAGAAGCAAATTTATATTTAAGTACTTTATAAAGAAGCAATGATGGATTTCACGTAAATATTATTGATGCAATTATCAAATTGTAGTGCGCATTTACAAACTCTTACAAATATATCCAATTTAAAATGAACTTCAAATTCCAATTATATAAAAATTATTAAATAATGATGATGTTTTACGAAACTGCAGTAATAAAGTTTCGTTTTCGAGCTGCGCGCAATCTGCAATTATGTTCCCCAATTCACGTGTGTCTTCCAACCCCACGATCATCCCCTTGGGGGATTCCGTGTTAAGGTGTGTTTCTCTTTATTTGTTGTGTTTTGTGGAAGGCGCGCCGGCGCCCACCTATAATAAAGAATTAATTGCGGCTTGAATAAGGGACGATAATGGGCCGTAAAGTTTCTGGTTTTCTTCGGGCGGGATTACGATGAGTCTGCTGCCTTGAGGATTTTGCGGTGACAATAAACCGCTTCAGGACGCTTCGCGCGACACAAAGGTCTTCCCGATCCTCCTCCTCCACCTCCGAGGGGTTTATGGCCTCTGGATGCATCCAGATGGTCGAGTCGTTTCGGCGATTTTTGCCGTGATAATAAAAGCTCGCGCTTCTCTCTGTCCACCCGGTTTTTACTGTCCCTGTGCAACGCTGGATGCTAGAAATTCATTAATTTACAATTAAATAGGGACTTCCCAAATGGCTCCGACGATCATTTGGGGAGGTTTCATCATTATTTCGTGGTTTAATTATCTAATCTGGTGTATTCATCCAATCTACATTATTTGATTACTTTCGGATTCAATGCAAGCATTATATAGTTCAGTGGTCGGCAAATTTATTAGCCAAAGAGCCAAATATCAATATTTCAACAATTTTAAGAAAAAATGGAAGCCAAATCTGCTTGTTTAGTAAACTTTTATTACATTAAAATAAGTAGTACACTAAATAAAACTAAATTTCATACTTAATAAATATTTATTAATGCGAACAATGTGCTTGCATCTCCTTGGAAAGTTTGAGTAAGTAAAGTTTGTATGTTGTTGCGGCTCCGTGTATATTTGTGCCAGAGCCGCACTTAAGGAGATAAAGAGACATATGCGTCTCTGGAGCCGCACTTTGCCAACCACTGATATTGTTGGTAACAAAGCTTTCTTTTATTTATTTTAATTTATTATAATATGTCAAAATAGATTCAGATTATTTATATTTTTAAGAAATAATTAAATATAAATTAATTAATTAATAAAAATTGGTAATAGAATATTTCCTAGTGGAAAATATTTGAAAGTAGGTACCAACTTTATATTTTATTCATATTTTGAGTTGGTAACACCAGAAATTATAAAAATCGTGTCTTTTTGAGTGCGTCTTAATATTAAAATATACACAAAAGAAAAACCTGTGAAACAAGCGATAATTATATAATTAGGTAAATATTACTTTTCACTTTTAGTAGAAATTTGTTACTTTCAGATTCAATACAAGCATTATATTGTTGGTAACAAAGCTTTTTTTAAGGTTGGCAGTAATCAAATTTTAATTTATTATAATATGTCAAAATAGATTCAAATTATTTAAAGTTTTAAGAAATAATTAAATAAAAATTAATTAAATAAATAATAAAACAAGTTGGTAATAGAAGATTTTTCCTAGTGGATAAATATGAAAAAGTAGCTACCAACTTTACATTTTATTTATATTTTGAGTTGGTAACACCAGAAATTATAAAAATCGTGTCTTTGTGAGTGCGTCTTAATATTAAAATATTCACAAAAGAAAAACCTGTGAAACGAGCGATAATTATATAATTAGGTAAATATTACTTTTCACTTTTAGTAGTAATTTATTAAAGTAAATGATTGCAGCAGCTTTGAATTTATAAGTGTATAAATAAAGTAAATTATATTTCAAAATATAAACGTCAAATCAATTTAAAAAAAAAAAATTGACACGCGCTTTCTTGATAATTCCTGAAATATATTATTTCTTACCGTGACATTTAAAATTGAAACTTTTGAAACTATTTAAACGTTTCAGCAAATTACAGTTCACCCCTAATTTATGCTGTTGAGATTGCTGATCGCGCATGAAACTTATTGTTTATGAAAGAGTGACGACACATACCTTGTAATCATCCGTAATCGACCAATAACAAAGCTCAAGGTTGTAGCATTTCCTAAATTTGCATTTATAAAAAAGAAAAAATATACATACAAAAATTGTATATTTCTGTGAAACTGAAAGCAATTTGTGCAAAGTTTCATTACGTCAAGTGCACACGCATTATTCGGAGCAATGAATTATTCAATACAGAATTTGGTTATTCGTTTTGTGATCGATATGCAATATGCACAAAGTAATTGGTGAATCACTGATGAAACTAATTGAATCAGACTGTAGGTCAATTTGGTTATATACTTAATTAATTTTTGCAGGTGATTCATCTCAATATTTCAACTTCTTGAATGGGGTGGATTCGAGGAATTAAATCGAGTGGTGAGTGATTTTAATCTCACGCGATCAGAAAAAAAAGGGAGCTTTTCATGTCGCTAATGGCACCTATTTAAAGTAAATAATGTAAGTTTTTAAAGACTGGAATTGTATGTAAAGTATTGAATTGATACTACCTTTATTATATAATTATTTCTTGTAGGCAATTAATACTTGTTACATTCCCCAAACATTCAGATTTCATATGCATCCTTTGGGTCCTTTCTATCTTTTATTGTTTCCGAGAAAATCAATAAAATGTGAAAACACTGCTTTTTTGAACGTTTTCTCAACTTTAAATCAGACATAAAAAGGGAGCTTTTCAAGTCGCTAATGGCACCTTTTTAAATTTAATAACGTACGTTTTTAATGACTGGAATTATATGTAAAGTATTGAATTGATACTATCTTTATTATATAATTAATTTTTGTAGGCAATTAATAATCTTTGGTTTGGTTATCCTTTGTGGCCTTTCAAATCCGTGTCTCGTTCTTTGCGGTCAGTTGAGATCAAAGCGAGCGCGCTTTTTTCCTTAGATGCAAAGGATAAATCCTTGCAGGGAAATGGCGTTTCTTGTTCTCGATCCTTTTCCTTGCGAATCCCGTAACAATATTAGGCACGTTCTGGTTTCGAGCATACATTGCTTCTATACTACACAAGTTTCGAAATTGGTATTTAAACTCGTATCTGTTGCAATCAATTCGAGTATCCTCGATTAGTTTAATATTCGCCGGATGTAGTTTGCAAATTGGGTTGAATCCTCCGAGTACGACTATTTCTTTTATGAATGTTGCCTTCGTTTTTCTTTTTAGTCATCTTTTTCACCTTAATTTAATGTTTGTTCTCTCCCAAAGTCGTCGTTCTCTCTCAAGTATTGATCAAACAGTTTTAGTTTCCGTCGGATGGGCACTGCCATTACCTAGTTTTGTGCATAAATCAGGTGAAAAACGATGAAAGTCTGCTCGCGAACCACCTGAAAATTATCGAGCTATTTGTCATCGGAGGAGCAAACAAACCGAAGGATATTTTATAGTTCTGTTTTGCACTTGGTTTGGAAAGTTGGCGGTGTTGTTTTCTTTTTGTTGTTTGCCGTTGAATGGATTAAAATTGGTCTCCGTTTCCAACAGTAAATACCTTTAATATGCGCTGCAAATAGTAAACGAGTCATAATGGACGTCGCTGCA